GCTGGATGTAGTATTCCCCATGATGAGACTGGTAATCAACTCCATGGTGGAATCTACTGTGAGCAGCTGAGTAGCTGCCTTAGGTAATGTGGTCTGCTTCCTGTATATAAGCAGAAGCCTTGGGGAATGGTTTCTAGCTTATGGCACGCTTGGAGCATGTATGTAGCCATGTCATTATTCATCAGCCTGCCATGCTTTGCCGACCTTGAGACTTACAATGGACTTAAATTAATGGCCTGCCATATGGTTTGGTAACATCGAGACTGTGCCTTTTTACTTGTCAACCTTGGGCTTATTAGCCTCAGCAGCCAGTAGCTGTCTGAGTGAAGAAACGCCTCTAGCTCCAGTGGGCTGGGAGCAGGAGGCAGAGCTGGACCCCAGGGTTGAGGGGCTTTCACACAGCCCCTAGAGCCTGGCACTTTGAACTTGGACTTAAAGTCTTCAAAGTGTAAGAGAATCCTGTTTGTTAAGACCATCCCATTTGTGGTATATTTTGGTCAGAGTGGCACTAGGTAACCAGAACAGCCACCAATTTTTTCTGCACCGACTGGCAAAGGATAGATGACAGCCAGTATGAGCCCGATGTACCCTTAATTGCTCTTCACAAACAGCTAAAAAGATTAGTGCATCCCTTCTCACTCTCTATCACACCCACCGGGAGATGGAGGTGAGTGCTTAAGTGCTGCCAACTAGCGAATAGAGGAGCACAGTACACTGCTTACTCAGATATATCAAAACAAAGAAAAAAAAAATCTTGGGAAAATCACACCAATATACAATCACCAATTAAATATAAATACAGTGACATCACAATGTCTCAAAGACAACAGACCATCACAGTCCACATAAAGAAGCAAAATAAAGTAGTGGAAACAAGGGACAAGGATACAAACCCAGAAAACATCCCTGAGGAAGAAGCAGCATTGGAACTCCCTGATAAGGAATTCAAAAGAGTTATATTTAGGTAACTTCAACAGATTGAAAGACACATGAAGAAAAACACTGATAAAATTAAGGAAAACACAGACAAAACCCTGGAACAATTTGGAAGACAATACAAGAACAAAATGTCAAAATAAATGAAAAGATGATACAAAATCTATAGATAGAAATCCAGAAGATTAATACTAAAATTTCAGAAATAGATAACATGTTGAATGGACAAAGGAGTAGAA